TATATAGTATATATATATATATATATATATATATATATATATATATTTACATTAATCTTTGATGCTCAGTAATTATTATCATTATTATTCTTGTCCTCGTCTACTAGTCTTATTATTATCATTATTACTACATCCACAAGCCAGCATTACTTATATAGTTACTGAATTTTTATTGCCATTACTATTTTACCTACTGTATCACAGCTGCCGCTGCTACTACCTCTATATATTACTACTATTACTATACTTACTATTTACTATACTGTTCGTTACTTGCCACCATATATATCACCGCCAAAAGAGAAAGACACTTTTGTACATTTTTGAGCGTCATGAACTTTTCTTGCAGTTTTTTATTCTTTACAGTCCTCTCACGTTTTATTCTGTAATGCGCTGCCTACTGCCGCTGCCTTCTACCCACTCTGCGACTGGCAACTTTCTAATGGGCGCTGAAACGACTGATATATATTTGCAAAAAAAACATATGCTAAACGGGGGAATCCATATGTATATGTCAATTGGAAGTGGGAAATTACCGCGGCAGCCCCCTCGTGCACAAGCGTGATTTTCTCGTTTGAAGAGAGTTTGATGATTCGTTTTTAGCTTAGCATGTATCATATCTTTTACAATGACTGGGAATGATCACATGCTCCAGGGGGTTGCGCCGCAGTACTAACGAAAATTGTGCTTGAGATCATACTCGAAGTGCACGAAAGAGAAGGGATCTTCTTCAGCTATGTCTCAGAACTACTCGATGACGTTCGTTCACTTTGCTTATCGTTAATACCCTTGCCTCTTAGATTTATCTTTTACGAGTAGGCTTCGATAATGCTAATTTTCAAGAAATTTTTTTATATAAATATAATCCAGTTGAATTTAAAAGTATGTCTAGCGTAATTTAGTAGTAATAAATTTAACAAAGTTGTTGGAAATTGTTGACAATGTTGTAATGCTTTTATTCTCCGTACAATTGGTTCATCGAGCATCGCTGAGGACGATACAATTGGAGACTGCGAGAACCGCCGTGGTAACGATTGGAGAGATTCGCAGCGCGAGAATGTGTCGAAGTGAAAAAAGAACGGAAGAACGCCGAATGAAATGTATTTCTTCCGGCCTTTATTCCACTTGCTTCAGATATACAGCACAAACGGACTTTTTCTTTCCGGGCCGTGTCTGTCTAAACGCAGCACCTGATCCAAATGCACAAATACACTCGCCAGTATTCGCTACCATCCAGGTACTCTTCGCTACACATGGACGCTACAATTTTACGCCACAATTTTCTAACGCATTTTTACGGCACTGTTTTCTAACGCAATTTATAGACGCAAAAGCGATCCATTTCTAAGACAGGCTGCGTTTAGGATGGAACCGGTCGCTGCGGTTGCCTTCTCGAGCGGAAAGCGCATTGCACAGCACGCATTGAAGGTTCAATTCTCGGATATTTTTCGTAAGAGCCGCATGAAAACGTAATATTATTGCCGATATACATATATAAAATGCGATCTCCTGCCGAACTATCTTGCGCGATCTCCAAATCATCTCCCTCTCTCTTTCGCTCGCATTGCGCGTACATACACGTTACCGAGAGTGTATGTGCATAAAAAAAAAAATTTCAAGCAATGGTTATATCTCTTGCATATAACTTCTTTGTAATGTGGTGAGGGGTAGTTAGCACATTTTCTAATCAGTGGTGGATGGCAGGTGCCGGCCATCTCGCTAGCCTACGAGGCACCGGAGTCGGACATTATGAAACGGCAGCCACGCGATCCTTACAGAGACAATCTTGTCAACCGAAGGTGGGTCTCCCAATTA